ATGTCAGAAATGTTTCTAGTTTCATGTGGTCACAGTTTGTTATGTTAGATTAGTCAACGCAAGAGAAAAGTTCGATGGAGCGGTGCAGTTATGAAAAGGGGATCAGATGAACTGTTAGTGAAGTGAAATGATATTCGAGTTTGATTGTTTTAGAAGTGGAATGAAGGTAGTGATGTGTCGCTGATAGTGATGAAAGGTGCTGGTGATAAGGCGTTTTGTGCGGGAGGCGATGTTGTTGGTCAGTATTGTGCTCGTGATTCGTTTTTTGATTTTTCGATCTGAAGTGGAACTTATTCCGATTGAACTCATTGTTGCTCATTTAGTTGCTTTCAAAAGATAATCAGTGAATTTCAGCTGTTACAAAATCGTACAAAGTAAACGATCCAGCGCAGACATTACATAAGGATTTCTTTCGTGAAGAGTATTTGTTGAATTATGAAATCGGCACCTGTAAAGTACCATACGTGGCTATTATTGATGGAATCACGATGGGCGGGGTATGTTTCGCATATCGTTATGAATGTTGACCTGATTCAGTAATGGAATCGGTTCCTTGAGAATCTGAACACTGCAATCTAACGAGTTTTCATTGGAGGGTTGTGGTCTTTCGGTTCATGGTCGATTCCGTGTGGCCACAGAGAGAACGATGTTGGCAATGCCCGAAACGGCATTGGGTCTGTTCCCTGACGTTGGTGGTACGTTTTCTCCAGTTTTGTCACTTAATATTGAGGAGTTTTATTGATATTAATTCACCTTTGGGAATTTTGATGTCTTCTCTGAGTTTTTGTGAATTCTTCAAAGAACATTAGATTCAGTCGAGAGCTTTCCATCACTGATAAATGAAAAGAGCGTTCAAAAACTTTCAGGATCTTATTTTCTGCCAAGATTAAATCATAATATTGGTCCGTTCCTTGCGTTGACTGGTTTCCGATTGAACGGTGCCGATGTGTATCACTCTGGCGTTGCGACTCATTACGTATGATAACTTCCAATTTTTGTGGTCTTATTTTCTTATTTTATTGGTCTCAAAAGTGGTCT